TTCGCTCTTCTCTGCCACGGAATCTCTCCTCTCCACCATGTGGCTGCTACTATAAGGTGGCAGGGTAACTGGCTGGATAACCGTACTCAGAGAGCTGTTATTAATGGGTCCCAATCCCGGTGAAAAGGCATAACGAGTGGGGTACCGCAGGGGTCTGTTTTGGGACCGGCTCTGTTCAATATCTTCATCAACGACTTAGATATTGGCATAGAAAGTATGCTTATTAAGTTTGCGGATGATACCAAACTGGGAGGGATTGCAACTGCTTTGGAGGACAGGGTCATAATTCAAAATTATCTGGACAAATTGGAGAAATGGTCTGAGTTAAACAGGATGAAGTTTAACAAAGACAAATGCAAAGTGCTCCACTTAGGAAGAAAAAATCAGTTTCACACATACAGAATGGGAAGAAACTGTCTAGGAAGGAGTACGGCAGAAAGGGATCTAGGGGTTATAGTGGACCACAAGCTAAATATGAGTCAACAGTGTGATGCTGTTGCAAAAAAAGCAAACGTGATTCTGGGATGTATTAATAGGTGTGTTGTGAGCAAGACACGAGAAGTCATTCTTCCACTCTACTCTGCTCTGGTTAGGCCTTAGCTGGAGTATTGTGTCCAGTTCTGGGCACTGCATTTTAAAAAAGATGTGGAGAAATTGGAAAGGGTCCAGAGAAGAGCAACAAGAATGATTAAAGGTCTTGAGAACATGACCTATGAAGGAAGGATGAAAGAATTGGGTTTGTTTAGTTTGGAAAAAGAGAAGACTGAGAGGGGACATGATAGAAGTTTTCAGGTATTTAAAAGGGTGTCATAAGGAGGAGGGAGAAAACTTGTTCACCTTAGCCTCTAAGGATAGAACAAGAAGCAATGGGTTTAAACTGCAGCAAGGGAGGTCTAGGTTTGACTTTAGGAAAAAGTTCCTAACTGTCAGGGTGGTTAAACACTGGAATAAATTGCCTAGGGAGGTTGTGGAATCTCCATCTCTGGAGATATTTAAGAGTAGGTTAGATAAATGTCTATCAGGGATGGTCTAGACAGTATTTGGTCCTGCCATGTGGGCAGGGGACTGGACTCGATGACCTCTCGAGGTCCCTTCCAGTCCTAGAATCTATGAATCTATACATCTATAAACCTAACTCCCACTGATGTCTGTCTCCAGGAGTCCGGCTGATGAGAGGAGCCTATTTCTACATGAGACTGTCAGCTATGAGCCCTCTCCTAGAGCGAGATGCCTAGA